GGGGGGGGGGGGGGGGGGGGGGGGGGGGGGGGGGGGTCGGGGAATGGAGCAACTGGGGAGGGTGGGGGAAGGTGGGCCAACAGGCAGTATCGAACAGTTTTCCATAGTAAAACAGCTGTTGCCTGAGCCCCTGGAAGGAGCAAAAGACCCTCGTCCTCCCTTTTCCTGGACCCGCCAATGTTCCTATGCTCGTATCCCTTTTTTTTCCTTTTTTTTTAATTACAAAAGGCGCTGTACCACATTTTCACCTCCGCAATGGTTTCTCCGCCTACCTATTCGCTCCACCAAGTTAGTCGTAACCCAAAATGCAGAATGCATTTTGCGTTTAAAAGTGTGGCATGGAATTCTGGGCGCAAAAATACCCTCAATCCCACTAAAAAATAATCATGCGACTCAAAATGCAGAAGAATCCCAGAAACAATAACTATAAAAATTCTTTTTTGCAGAAAAAAGTGAAAATGAACAATGGCATACTCCTGAATGAGCAACTGTTGGCAGAAGATCGGGCATTGCTGGCCCCAATGTTCTTCTGAACTGACAACGATTTGATGCCTGCTCGCTTTCGCCAGGCTCTGGAGGTGGTAGCAGAGAGCTCTCTAAAAAATGAAAGCATTTATTTCCCTAGTTCAGATTATCGTATAAAGTACTGTTGCTATTGTCGGCCTATGTCGCGATTGCTAAATCTCGATTTGCAATAATTGTATAAAATTTGTATTTTTCTAGTTATCTATCTTTTTTGATAAAATGTGGATGTTTACGTCTTCTTTTATGCTTCAATTCCTTCCGCACGGCGCTGTCCTCCTCCTGCACTCTCCTCTCAACAACGGAAGCTGCCGGATCAACAACGTCCAGATGTTCCGACGACACATGCCGAAATCCCCCCTTTCTATTATCATTCCAACTATTTTCGACGACGACGGATGGCGGACGCGACGGTGAGCGGACGACAACTACGGACGATGAAGCGACGAGGCGCTGCTCATTTTTTCTTGTAATATTCTTTAATGATTTTGTATCCACGTATATTCGACATTTATTCGTTCGTGTCACGCGTATTGTCTATGCATGATAAAGGTTATATTGCCCAAGTTTGAGGTAGCGGACGATACGACGAGTGGGTCTGCAGAAAGACGTTAGCTGACCCAAAAATCAACGCCTGGTGGTATTCGCGCTGTCTACAAGCCGACCAAGTCCGAGGAAAATTCAGTAATATTTGCTGGCAGTACAATAACCCAACTAGCACATACTGGATACCTGAAGACACGAATCAGTGATACAATTAATTGTTGTGGGGCAAAGTGATCTGAGGAACCAACAAGGCAGTTCCTCCTCCACAACAGCCTGTGCATATAGCACTAGTCATTAACGCATAAATAAACCAATGGATTTGATAAGTGCTATATAAAATGCCTTTCGTAAGCGCAACACGAAATCCTTCGTGCACCCTTCGTTTTAATTTTCTGACTCCGGCCGTTCCATATTTCCGATTTCTCTGGACCGTCCACTTCTTTTTAAATTTACGATTCGGCATTCTAACGACCGCAATTTATCATGCATTATAAATGCTCTCTAAAAAAAACAGTTATATGTACAAAAAAAATGATGAATTTTACCATGAAGACGCCTTGTTTCTTCTTCGGGTAGTGAAGGCGAGAATGAAACGGTAGCAGCGGTAGCCAGCGGTGGCACAGATGGGCCGAATGAATCCGAATAAGACAATGATGATGAGTTCGAAGCACCTAACATCGACAACGGCGCTACAAAAAATAATAGGTTAATTACACAAAAAAGTGGATTTTTTCACAGCATTCACTGTAGGCATAGTTTGGGGAAAACTCCTAAAAATCGCCTTTTTCTTTCAGTACCTTTGCAGCTGATAACTTTTCCATTATGGCGTATACTGTTCTGGTAAAACCATTCTCATGCACAAGCGGATCCAAGACGGACTCCTGAGGGAGGCGGGTGGGGAAGAGAGTCCTTTCCCGCCTTGGAACTATGCAAAAACTAGGGAATAAAGTTGTAACATAGCTACTTAAAGTTACTTTAGGCTATAGCTTACTTTCGTTTTAATTTTAGACCCATGCTTTTGCAGCACTAATGCCTGTGTCACTAGTGGGGGGCTGGATCCGCCTATGTTCTCTTCTAAGACAGTGAAGCGAGCAAACCTTGGAACTATGCAAAAACTAGGAATAGAGTTGTAATACTGCCACACAGAGTTAATTTAGGCCTTAGCTTATTTTAG